GTTTTGGTCTATTAACAACTTCAACAAAAAATAATATGAATTTGTGAGGTCCATTGTCCCATCAGGATAACATGTCAGCTAAATGAATATAAACAAAAAAGAGCAAACACTGACATGTCAAGTACAGTAAATTCATTTAGTGGCAGGCTGAGCAACAACCTTGAAGACAATCTATCTAGTTTAATGTGTAATCCCTTCAGCCAGGGGTTAACAAAAGACAAAAATTCCTTCCAGTAAATCCCTGAAGACCTACTTTGTACTTTAATGATGTGCTTTCATCTCCTCAGACCATACAAAGCACCGGAAAAACATCCCCCATGCTGTTCAATGTGTGAGCGTGTGTGCGGGTTTGTGAGTTTGTGAGTTTAAGAGCGAGTGAGTAAGACGAAGTAGTGTGTTTGCTTCCCAGCATGCACGGACATGGTTCTTCTTTAGAAGAAGCCTATGAGTTATGAACCAGACAAAACACCCAAACCAGATTCCCAAAAAAACAAAACAAATGAGGGTAGCAAACACTGGAGAATGCAGCCCCCACCACCACGACTAAAAAACACTCTGAACTTGAAACCCTCTTTCCCTGTTTTATGAATGAGTTCAGGCAGAAAGCATGTCTTTATATTAACTCAATGAAAACAGGGCTAGCACATTTCCCTTCCTTATTGATGAATTGATGAATGACCAGGTCTGAAAGTAAAATGCCTCTCAATACAAAGTTTACATTCATGCCAGCACAGCAGAAGGCCTGTGAGCAAAGCACACATCAAACAATGGGTCTCAGATAAGATTACTGAAGCTTGATACAGGGCGTTATCAAAAGAGAAAGAAAAACCATCATAATGTGGTCCTCTATGGTCGCAGTCATTCCTGCTATTGGTACAAATCAAGTAAACAGATTCTAAGTACAGCAACATCAAGCTTTGCTTTTTTACTGCTAAACATTACGAATAGAGACGGGAATCGTCACTGGTTCTGGAATGTTTTTCCTAACAGTTGTGTATTGCAAAACAGCGACAAATTCAATGCGTCTGCGCAGCTGGAAACTTACAAAAATAAGGAGTCATGAAGGAGAGGAAGGAATGATCCAAAGCATGGCTTTATTTCATGAAGAGAGACAACAACAGTGCTAGTTGTAATGTCTATAAAATAATTATTTAGAATCAAGTAAGGGTGGAAACACCGCTAATATGCTCAAATATCTTTCTACCCGACATGGGCTTAAATTCCAGGAATGCCATGCCACGAGCGCCACTGCTTCCCAACTGTGTCAGTATGTGCTGTGTCTGTTGCACAGAGGGTAAATATCCTGTTTTAGGGCCACGCAGGAAGGTTTAGCAGAATTTGATCAGTAATCAAAAAGGGAATTGATAAAGAATTGGACCAATACGCAGAATTGATAATGGCAAAAAATACAATTCCCATTCCTAACTACTAATTCACCACATTGCTCAGCATACATATAAAAGGTCTCTGATCTGCAGGCACTGGAGCTGGCAGACAACAACTTGTGGGAATGAACACTGTTTTATCAGCGGGCTCAACTACTCCAGCTATCGGGCCTTCCTCACTTCAATAAAATCTGGCTTACTACCACCAGACTTCTCCAATAAACTACCTAATAAATAGCACAACAATGCACTCTCTGCAGCAGTAGTGCTCGTGTTGTTTCAGATCAATTCTGTTTTAAAGCAGCGGGCGAATGATGGCCCATTTGCCCTGGCGGACGCACTCCCTCTGGAGCCCAGTTGACTGCTTATGCATCTTCACGGGGGTCCTTCTCCACTTCCTCTATATTTAGTCTGCTTAAACCGAGTCAACAAAACATGTCAACGTCTCGGACATGAAGATGCCAACTGAAGTCAAACACGTTAGTCAGGCCTAGAAGTGTCTCATCTGTACAGTTAGTCAGGTTCTGAGATATGGCCGAGGACAGTGTGTTAAACTTAACTGGATCCCCCTCATGTCTAAGGATAGTGGTGTGTTGCCTACATTCATTCTCCTCAGACTTTTCCTCCTGTTTCTTGTCTGTATGTGTGTGTCTGCTGACATCTCATCATACAGCAGCAAACAAGAAGGATGTGGCCTCAGCATTAGTACGTTCAGAAGTGGCTAACAGTGGTTTTAGAAGCAGCAGTTGGTAGACCAAGCAAGCAGTATCAATAGTCACTGTTGTAGTTTTACAGAGGTAATAATAATAATAATAATAATAATAATAAAATATAATAAAGTTATACTAGCAGCAGCAGATTGCTCAGAAATAGAGGCAGTAGTAAGAGAAACAGTACGAGTGGCAGCTGTCGGACCAACACTGTTAACAGAAGTACTACTAGCTATTCGGCATTAGTTGTTGGCTATTTAAAGTGTAACTGCAACCCACCATTCTGCTAGCTCCCTCCCTTTAAAAACGCAACAGAGACCTGCAAAGGACAGGCAGTGTAGTGGGCGTGGCCCCGACACCGACGGCGGTGAGTGACAGACTGGCCACCGTTCAATGTGGAGCAGCGAGCTGGTAGTCCACAGTCCACTGGACCATTTACAGTCACTAGAGGCACATTCATGGCCTTTTGTAGGGGTTTCCTTGCGGTACCTGTGTTGTAGCGAAACTACCGGCTCATGTATCTATGTGTGCAGAGGGTTCATAGCATATCCACTGTGAATGACGTACTGGATGAACTGGTATACAAGTTTTAATTTCCCATATGATATCAACTTTTCATATATCGCCATACTGGTGCATAGCTGACACAACTGCTGTGACTCTTCAAAAGGCAACAATATTGTTTTTACCACAAAGAGCACTACGGTCGGGACAAGCTGTGTAGCGTGTATTGAGAGGGGAACTCCACTTCCTGCAGTGGTAAGGTAAACAGTTTTACCTTTATAATACAACAGTTAATAAGCCAAAACTCTCTTTAACACCATGGCAACAATTTGAGGCAATTTGTTTCTGATTTGCACAAATAAACCATCTGAAAAGTAACTCTTTGAATACTTAACTACTTTGAGTATTTTATTTTATAGTGTTTATACAACTATTTTAAAATATGTTGTTTTGAAAAGGAAGCAATGTTAAAGTTGTTGGCATATATACATATAAAAAAGAGGCACAGTGAGAAACATTTTATAGGATTTGACATAAATAGAATATTATATTCTCAGGTATGTTTTCATTAGTGTATTTGTGTAAAATAAGAACTGTTGTGTTTTCGTTGCCTTAGAATAAGTCAATATTAACACTGATTTGTTTCATTACAGTACAGTCATAATTTAGTGTGTACTACCTCTTTAAAAAGAAAATCCAAATCCATTTCCTATCCTTCATAGCCCAAAACATGTTTTCGTCTCGTCTCAACAGAGTGGTTTGACCTTTTATCAGCACCATTACACCTTGACCTCACACTGGCAGCTCGCAGATGTGGTTTATATAGACAAAATGCCTTAGTGTCAATATTTCATAATTTCCATCAATATTATCACCACAACAGTCAAATAACTGAGGCCTCAGGGCCAGGACATGACAACTTTTAAGCCACAATATTAGGATAAGTAAAATCCCATACAATACCTAGTGTCACACAATATAAATGTTATATTGATGAACTATAAAAATATAAAATATACACACTTGGAGTCACATGTTTAAAAATGGAATATCTATTTGGGAGTTCTTTCTCAAAGCAACACAGCTGTTGTTGTTGTTGTTACTGATGGTGCAGCAGGAAGGAAGACGTGAAGACATAACTGTAGATACGGCTTACAGTGGTCACCATTCATATTATTGATGATGGTTGTGGTTAAATTATCAGGCTTGATATTGTCTTATTGAATTAGATTTGACATGAGTCCAAAGCCCGCTGGTACCAACACAGACAAAGCAGAGATAGAGATTTTAATGTCTACTTTAAAGTGTTTTCTTGCCGACAAGAGAAATGATAAACACCACAGGGTTCTGCTCCTCCACCTGACACCCCCTCCATCCATCCAACATGACTCCCTCCAACATATTCCACCTCCTGCTTTCTTTTCCAACATGCCCACACTCTGCCACTCCAACAGCCCACAAAGCAGGCCAGGCATACGTGTGTGTGTCAGACATATTTTCATCTCTGTAATAAGCCTGTTTACGTTTGTGCGTGCCTGCATCGCTGTGTGTGTGTCTATGTGTGTATGTACATGCGTGCAATCCACTCCAGTCCTGCGACAGTTCCATGTCACAAGACTGAAAACATCAACATGCTGAGTCTGCAGCAAGGCGCCAGTCACCAGGGAAACAATTCAGCCAGACACACACACTCAGTCAGCCAAAACACATCGTCTGAAACGCACCAGCAAAACAAGTCATCTAAAAAGCTGCAGTCGTAAACACAAAATTAAAGGGCGAGTTCACACTCATCGTGCTTGGAGTAATTTAATTAAACTCTGGAGCATTTACTCCTTTAATTCAGTTTGTTTAGGCAGATAAGAGCATTTGAACTGAACTTCCGTGGCATCAAAAGACACCTGAATATGTGAGCTACTGCCTCTTTTGAGAGAAATGCAGTAGGCTGCGTTAGTACAGGTAAACACACTAAAATACAAGGCTTTTTGTAAATAAAGGTTGACATTTGACAGGTAGTAGTTGCTCACATTCAGAAATCGTCTCTCGAGAACGACATGGGCTGAGGCAAAATTGCAGTCTTAACTGATACCTCTGTTGAGCTCTTCCTTCATGTTTCCTTAACTTGGATAAACACCTGAGATATATTACAGCGAAGATCTGCAGACAAGTCAATCATGCATAACAACTCCCCCTCCCCCCCACCGCTTTCATCCTTCCTCGCAGCCAAAACACAACAGCTAAAGCAGTTAAAGTGACAGGTAGCAGGCCACAGCTGTAGGCACAGAGCCGTTCATTACACTCCCAAATTCACATCTACACAAATCAGGCCAAAGGCTCGACTGTCTGCATGATCTATTTGCAATTCAAATCCCTGATGAGCTATCATGTGTGACAGTCAGCTTACCTTTCTGGCAGTGATTGGAATTCCAGCAGCGGTAGTTGTAGTTGTTGTTGAACATGGTCTTTCTGCACTGAGGGCTGTTCTCCATGATGCCTGGACAAACGTCGCTGCACTCCTTGGACTGCTTGTTGCCGGCGATGTAATTGTTGAACTCCGCGTCCATGATGAGGGACCAGTCTATGGAGTCCAGGTAGCAGAGCTCAGGGTTCTTCTCAATGCGGATGGCGCCGCGGGTGATGTTCCTCAGGTTGTACAGGCCAATGTCCTTCAGGCTGGTCATTTCAAAGATCACGAGGGCGTAGTTGTAGAAAAGGTTTCGTCCGCGTATGACTGTGAGGTTGGGAAAGAGCGCACTCAGGCTGTCCAGGCCGGATACCCTGAATAGCAGCAGGTAGTCGGTGATCATGGTCAGCTTGGGGAAGCTGAGGGAGCGGAACCCTTCCTGGTTGATGTTGTTGTTTTTGTCACCGATGAGGAGGATCTGCAAGTAGCCCTCCACCACAGTGCAGTTCTCCAGACGTCTGAATTCACCGATGTCATTGCCAATGTCGATGCTGGGACCACAGACTGCGGGGGGGCAAAGGGACAGGGTTAGGACACCTCATTTACGCTTTTATTTATTTGCTTTATTCCATTATTTGATGATCTCCACAGGGATTGTAACCGTTTCAGAATCACAATATGAGGTCTTGGTTCAATCCTGCCTTCTCTTTTAAAGCTAAGCAGCAAAACAATTACATGAGAACACGTTCTTACAGATGATCTGGATATTTCTTAATGTATTTACACACTCTTCGCAATAAACTGTTAAATGCAACAATATACAAATCTATGTTGTCCATTCCTAAAATAGCGATATTTGTAGAGAGATGTTTATCCAATACATATTTTAAATATTGACAGTACACTTGAGTTGTGCTGTTGTTGACAGAACATGTTTGCCTTGCAGTTCTCATTTTCAATGCCAACTTAACATGGTGTGACAAAGTAAATACTTGAGTAAGGTTCTATTCAAGCTTAGGTTAATAGTGCAATAAAGTTTATTTTACTCTGCCTTCAGGCTATTGTTGCCCTTGTGTCCACTTAACATGACCCGAGGTTTTCTTGTTTCTGCCTTTATCAAGCTTTCGTGACACAAAGACGTCAAAAGGCACAAAAACTATTCACCTATAAAAAGACACTGCCCATAAACCATGTTCACTCAGTCATTGGATCAAATACAATATGTGTGATAAAACAACATGTTAAACAAAAGGACAAAATGAATCATGGAGGAATTTTACAAGTACTACGGTCTACAGACAAGGTAGCAGCGTTGTGCTAAATGTCACCATGCTAATGTTCAGCAGGTATAGCATTTACCTTCACTATCTTATTTTAGCTTTTTAGCATTTGCTAATTAACACTAAACCCAAAATATAGCTGAAGCCAACGGGAATGTGAATAGCTTTGCACATTTTTAGTCAGAAACCAAAGTATTAAACACTTTATGAAGCTGTGAAAACATTTCACCCAAAACCACAAATGTCAGCCTCATGCTGCTAAGAGGAAACGTCAGTTGGATCACCAAAGATGTGTCGCCTGGGAACCATGAAACGGGAGTAACAAATTTTGTGCCAATCCATCAAGTAGATGTTAGATGTTAGTAGAGGATATTTCACAGGATGAGAGAAGCTTTGACCCACTAGTGTGGTTAAATGAACAGTCAGGGGTCACCAAAGTCAGTAGGGCACAGGGAACGTCTTTGTAAAATATCTTGGCAATCTGATAGTTGTTGAAATTGCTTTGTCTAGAAAACATATTTCCATCCAAAACAGTGGCGCAACCACGTAAAAGACAGACATTCCCATTCCTTGAGCCACATCGCCAACGTTATTAGAAACAGCAGTTGTAATCTCAGTATAGCTGGGAAGGTCTCAACCAGTAGCAGTCTTTGCATACGCTGATCTAGTGAATTAAAGAATTATCTTGAGCAGAAGTGAAAATGTCTGGGCCTGTGATCAAAAGACAGACAACAAAGGACAGTTGTCTGCTCTTTGATGTGAACAAATTGTACGACCATGTATTTATGCAGTTTCATGTTCAGTGTAGAACAGATCTGTTTACATTTGTCTTGTTAACCTCTTGAGTAGTTCTTTGTTATTGACTGAGACAGTCAGTAGACTCTGATTATATTTACACAAAGTAATACATTGAACCATAACAACTGCAATGAAAACTATGAAGAACTGGCACTTCTCTGAATTCTGTGTGGTCTCTGAATAATCCAAACCCGCATCAGGAAAAGTCTGGTTAAGCATGGTGATGATGATGATCGGTGATGATGGTGGAGTGTTTGCCTTTCCAACTTTTACTCCCACCTGTGTGCTATGCTCTGAACAATACTTAGCGTAAAGCCCCAGCAGCACCCACAGAAACATGGAGGCCATTATCGCACATGACTGAGGAGGAGTTAGACTTCAAAAGCTGGAGGGCAGTGAGTCATGGAAAACTCACACCAACCAGCTAACAGGTTGTCACACTACCACTTTAATGCTGGTCTATAAAGTTTTACTGTATTCGTGTGATGCACTGAGGTTTGGGAAAGATGATGCATACACAACAAACACTTGACTGTTGTCTTAATTACAACATTTTATAATTAAACATTAGGGCTGGTGTTGCAGGCTTATTGAATGTAAATCTTTTATTTTTTACTATACATAGCACTGTTTAATGTAAGAAAATAAGTGTAACATGTAATAATTATGTCATAATAAATGCATGTTTGTTTTAAAAACAACATTTTCTAACAAATTACAATAAGGTGACGAAGAATGTTATGCATACCGATGTTAAATGTGGATATGTAAGACCAGTAAATGTCTTAATACAGAATATTAGGAGGTCGGTTACTTACAGTACTGCTGATACCAAAACCACACTGCTATTGTTGTGGAACAAAGTTGAATTTCCAGAAGAACACCCTGAACCTTTCTGCTGGCAATGGAAATTTTTCCCAAACATCTCAATGCGGTTTGATGGTGTAGCACAACGTGACACATCACAATACTGGAAGAGGTCTATAACTTAACAGTTACGCACAACTATCACACTTTTATATTCTCATTCGTCATCTTATTTCAGCTTATATGATCAATATTAGTTTACTGTTTTGCTGTAGTGAAACATTGTCCACAAACCCATGTATCCAAATGTCTAACAAAGTTGTTATTATTATTATAAAGATTATTAACTATCTAACAAATCAGGATCTATTAGTCATGCGGCTCAATGGCTCTAAAATTAACCACTCAACAGCAGCTCTGGAGTCAGTTATACACAGAAAGAGAGGCTACTAGAATTGTATGACACTATCCTAACGCAACCAGCAAGTAAGTGGTAAAACCAATAAAACAGTGACACAAGTATGTAGTAGACCCTTTAATACAGCCTGCTTAAAGTGGGAATGTTGCGCCGTAATCCCACCTCGCCATTCTGTGCAAGATGTAAGAACGCGGAGTGGCAGAATCATTGTTCTGCTGTTACGCCGGCATGGTACGTAGTCAAATAGACATCTGTGTAAAGTGGGGGGCCGCCAGGATGGGACACACAGTTGTCAAACTAGACGTCAACGCTGTTGTGTTACAAGTCACGCCTCTTTTGCATCCGGAACGGCGACATCTAAAAATCACACAGCGTTATTTTTCAGACGTATATTGTACTTCAATAAATCAAATGTGTTTATGTACCGGTGACCAACTCTCTAACATGAAAAACATAAAAGATGTGTTAAAACTAAGTTCAGGGGTGGTGAAGTTGATGAAAGACAGTAACTTTCCTATACCTATTTCACACCAACACAATGACGCAAACCAGCACCTCCTGCATGAAATGGGTATTAAAAATTCCAGATGTCACAGCAGTCCTAAAGTGCAGCAGAGAGAGAAAGCACAGGTGAAGGTGAACAGGTCATTACCAACACCAAAACACCAAGTGTCTGCTGATGTCTATGAACTTCAAAGTTACTTCACAACCAAATATTAAAAAGTTATAATTAGGAATTATGAGACTGTGTACAAAAATATATACACTGTTAATCTACTGTGGATGTAAACACTTTCAAATTAAGACTGAGAGTGGGCACTCCATCTGTATCAATATTACCTAGTGTGTTAGGAAATGGAAAACAGGCATTGTTATCCTTACATCATTACCTCACATATCTACTGCTTTGCTCCTTTTCAAGAACATATATATAAATACCTTTATAAAGTGGCAACTGACACACATACCTCTCTCCACTGAAAACACAAAGGAAAGTTAGGCCCATTTGTGCAAATTGAGTGAATAAACTGAAACAAGTTCAAGATTGTCCTAAACTCTTTCTCATGGTTGCCCTGTTTCAACCCCGCTTGTCACAGGTTTAAAAGCACAGACACAAGCTGTGGCTTGTAGTGTACCAATGCGCAACTAAAATGTGTTTAAGTTTCTTTTTCGCCTTTCTTTGCATTTGGCATTTTAATTGGAAAACTATCTGGTTCTCACATAAAGTAAAGGAGAGGGTTAGGAACTATATGTTTTCTGACCAAAACTGCTGAGAGTATAAGTCTCTCTCTGTAGAGAGGACATGAGAGCCTTTGGTGTGATTTAAGGCAGGCGGCGTGCTGGTACGGCGGTTATGTCTTTCTCTGTAATCCACTTGTCAGTGCACACTGTCAGCAGCCCTCAGCAAGCTGCATACCTGTTAATACAATCCCAACACCCGGGCCTGTAAAAAGACACACTGCCTTGTGACGTTACATCACTACAGCCTCGACGCTTCACCCTCTATGGCCTCACTGCAACGCCAGCATGGCCGTCTTTCATGGGAACTGCTCATGACCTCCCTCGTGGAGATACTAAACAAAAGGTTTCTGATCAAAATGTACATATTGTGCACCAGCTTAGTGAAAATACCGATAGCAGGTGTAGCAGCTTAATAACTCCCCCCTCCCTCTCCTCCCACACCGACACATTTTAAACAGCTGAGTACACAAGCCTATCTCTGCTGCTTTGATGAGCCTCCAGATCACATATTTACTTTTGATAACCTTTTCCCAGCTGGCTGCAGCACCCAGACGATGCGCAGACAATCAGAGGAAATCCACTAGAAGCCCCATAAGACAAGAAATGGGAAGTAATACGCCCTCTAAGCTGGTGCTTCATACACTGCCACTAGACTGCAGCAAGTCTGTTTACTCCTCATTTCCATCCTGTTAGTGACAGACCGCCCGAGGGGAGAACGGATTCATAAATACTTTTCCACATGAGAGGCGAGGTGAGAAGAAATGCACCGGGAAGCTTTAGCAAAAGATCACTGTTGACAGATAAAACTCGTCTGGTTCACCTGAAAGGCTGTGTCTGCAGCAGCAGCAGCTCTGTACCTGGTTAACCCAAACCTACCAGCTGCCCTTTGGTCCCAACTGATACAGTAAACCAGCAGGAATGCTCAGAGTTTAGCCACACAAGGCACCTTTAGACAGCTCCACACCGGAGTGAGAATAAATGTAGGATTTCGATGGGAGAACCTCTCTGCTGCTCCCAGGTTTGTCCTGTGACCACTGGGGCTAACAGTAAACCCCATGACACACAGTTCACAAGCTCCTCACTCTTTCCAATCAACAGAACTTAGTCTGTTTTGCTTGCGAATGTACTTTGGCTTGTTCTATTTTAAAACCCAGACCCTGGTTCAAGCCCCCGACCCACCCCTCCCCAACATGTCATGATGAATGGGATGAATCAGAAAGCCTAGTTTACATTATAGCTGGAGACATGGAAAATTTTCAGATGGCCACACATAAAAAGAAATTGTGAATAAATATAGAAGCTTTAAATGCTTCAAATTTAAAGGTTCGCCAGCCGACAGAAGCTGTAGAGCTTCAATATGCTGCCATACAGTAGTTAGTCACTATGAGGTCCTATTCCTTGCACTGAGCCACCTGTGTGGTACAAAACTGTCAGAACTGCAAAGAAGTACAGTTTTACTTCAGAGAGTACAATGTAAAACAACAGCCCTTTGGTGGACCCCATACTTTGCCTGACGGGAGGATGTTGCTGCACCTGATCAACTGCTGCAGCAATCTGGTAACTCATGAAAATATTTCCAAGGTCAAGGTATCCCCAGGTTTGTTTAGTGACGGTGAATACATGACAGTGTTCTGCCCAAAAAAAGCACAACGACGCCTTTAGATTTCAATGCTGTGGCTTCAGTCAATCTTAAGAATTGTTATTCAACTTTACAGCATTTTTTTTAAATCAACAGTCTGCTAAGGGCTGTGTTTTGTTCACTCTGTTTTGTTGCTGAAACCTTGGAAAGTCCTAAATTAATAAATCTTAAGCTACACTCATATTGCCCACTTAAAAGGGCATTTATATGTTGTTTTTTAAGTGGACCAGGCTGTAAAACCATCACATCTTCACTGACACACGCTACAAACTAAAAAATAGATACTGTGTACACTGTAAGTGCTCCTTTATTTGTGCTGAAAGGTCTAATCTATTAGTAAATACAGATTTGTCACGGCTCTTAGTACAAGCATCGACCGTTGACTTATGTTTGCACAAAGTCTGCACTACTTTTTCTCACTTCCGTGTGATAGATACTTTATTCATTATATTATAATTCAATAGATGAGAGTAATAGATCAGACTATTGGATGCAGAGGAGCACAAGCGCAACCAAACTCAATAACCTATCTTTGCGTTTCTCAAATCCTATTTCTGTTTGCGGTTCTCTGTTGAGATCACAGATACCTTCCACTTTTTGTTGATTCTAAATTCACCACACTGTGACTCAGAGTTGACAATGTGGTGTGTATATATAACTTGGGTGACTCTCTCCATTTGCTGAGTCATGGTAATGTATTTACCAACACACTTTAACGGACTCATTTTTTGCGGTGTGTTTTGAAACCAACTTTCTACAACCAGACTTTCTACAAGCTATATCGCAGTATTCACCAAAACCACAGTAACTACACTTTTTTGTACTACTAAAACTAATTTAAATGCTTTTTCCACTAAGATAAAGTTATTTTCCCTCCCATATAGTATTACACTGTGTAGTACACAGTTTCCATGCAGGATGCTTTTTTTTTTTAAATCAACATCTCCACCATCCTGTAATAATATCACATTGTGATATACCATATTTCTTCTTCTGTATACTCAACAATACTCTCCTCTTTCAGGTATTTTCTGTATAAATGCAGAGATGAAACATGTTAATTGTCAAGAAAACTGTGTTGTCTCTGCAGTCTGCTTATAGACAGTGTGGAAGTATAACATGGTGTTTAGGCTGTAACCGAGCTGTATTGCAGCATGGACAAACCAATGTTTCCCATGTGTAGTAGTGTGGAGTAGCGTTACTTACTCTCTGCGGTGGCGGGCCGGAGGCAGGACGACAGACCCAGCATCAGACCCCAAAACAAGGTCAAGCGGCTCCTTTCCATTCGAGACCTCATTACTGGATGAGTAAATCCTCCCAAATCCTGTAAATAAATATGTTGAGGGGAGGAAACGTGGGCAAAACCTGGTCAGAATGATTAAAGAGCTTTTTTAATCTCCAGCCAGCACCTTTTAGCTGTTAGCCGGCTAATGGAGCTAATAGCTACTACATACAGGCTAGCAGGATAGCGTTCTCACGTTTCCTAATGGGAGTCCGACCGTGCTCCAAAATCACCGATTTGTTCCTCTAGCCAGAAAATAAGTATTCATAGTTTCACTGTTTATTCCAGCCGAAAACAACGCCGTGCTGGTGTGGGTACTGAAACCAACGCGGCTAAACTAGCGGTGGGGATTCCTCTGTAATCCGCATCTTCACACTCCATATCTGGAGAAAAGCGTTCAACGTCCCGCTGCTGGAGGATCCTGAGGAGAGGAGCACAAAACGGGTCGACCCCCCTTTAAAACTAGGATGGAAACAGACGGTCGAGGACATACAGCGACATATTACACCGACACACGGTCCCCTTGTGTCAACGACACGACGCTGGTTTCGAAATATCCAGGATAAAATCTGGTTTCAGACCGCAGCCTCCTTCTTCTTCTCCTCCTCCTCCTCCTCCTCCTCAGCCGCTCATCATGCGCACACACATACACACACACACACACACACACCGCGTTGTTGTGGTAGCTGTAATTCACCTTCAAATGGACCAACAGTTCAGTATTTGGCCTTATTGCCCCAGGTCAGGTGAAGTCCTTTGGTTACCTAATGGGCTCCGTCGATAGATAGCTGAACGGGAGCGTAGTTAGGCAGATTAATGCACAGGTACATACACAGTCTCCTTCGACCAGTCTGCAGTCTGCCCGTGTTCACTATAAACACGGCGCCGTGCGCAGAGATCGTCTCTGTTTCAGAAGATGAATCACTCGAGCCTCTGCCCCGCCTTCCAGTCTGAGGAAGCGGGCGTCACTCCTACTGCAGTTTAGCCACCGTAGGAGAGCTTGTTACCATAGTGACTGGTCTGGTACTCGTCACAAGAAGGTCAGTTTGATCTCCGTGTGTCGTTGTCAGGATACACTGTGGGCGATATTTACACCACCTGTCTTTACTTTACCGTTGTTGTTTGTAAGAGAGGGGCCACTGCACTACGCCATCTTTACTTCTACATTCACACCAGACACTTGATGTGGGAGGACCACATCATAACAATAACAGATTGTTGTAATCTCGACAGAGTGAGACCTCAGCGCTTGCTTCTGCTCTCTGTCGCCGTAGCTACTCCGTTTACGACGCGGCACGAAGGAAATCTGGCATGCTGATCCAGGATCAGGGTTGTTTTGCTCCTCACGAATACACAGCAGAGGGCTGCCTATACAAAGATCGTGTCTGTCTGCACCACCTGTAATTACACTCTTAATCAATGTACGCAGTCACAGGTGTGTCTGTAGGGCATAGCGGTATAAGCCTGCCATTCATACATGTACAGATATCACTTATGTCTTTATATGCCATTGCCTATATATATCAACCTACAAGTGTCTTTATTATGTCTGCCTTACTGTTATCACGTGTGTTCGTAGTTTAAAAAAAAAATTGTGATATGGTTTTAGGCTATTAAATTGTGTATTCAATTCATTTATATTATATTTCAACACATTAATAAAATCCCAAAGATCACATTGTTCTTAAGCCTCATGCCTCATAAATATCAGAACACATAAAAAAAAAAACGTTTACTAAAATAAAACCACCTTAGAGATATGGATTGTATGGATGAGTTTGGGGGAAATCAGCCCCTCAAATACATCCCATCCTATGTAGTCACGTTTAGTGGGGCTTGGTAGCAGCTCTTACAACAACACTGCACTCTGGCTTTCCTCTGAAAAGACACCGAAATGCTGCCATCTTGAGGCGAGTGGAACCAACTGCAGACCTCTAATCTACAGTAAAATAAAACACAAGAGGGAGGGGGTCAAACTTAAAACTACTGATTTGGTAATATTAAAACATGAATATAGTCATTTAAAGACATTGTTTAAAACACTTTTTTCTTTGCACATGTTGCTATCATCAGAGGTTGCCGTGGATATTTACCCAGTAACTGTGAAAGTGTTCATTTACTTTGTTTGAGACACGGACAGGTACAGTTGCTGATCTTTTGAGGTCTGAGGCCCACACTTGGGAAGTGGTGGGCCAGCAGCTTGTGATGCTGTGAGAGAAGCAGACAGTAAACAAAACCGTCCATAGAAGAGCCCCTGACAGTTTTGATTATCCCTGTAATTACAGGCCGCTTTCATCACTTCACAGAGTAGAGCACAGAGGCATTATTTGAACGCCGCACATTACCTCAGCCCTGGCAGACAGCACTCGGCATCCGTCACAATCCAACAATTAGCACTGAGAGAAAAAAAAAATGCACATTAAAAATGAAGTGAATATCAGTGGCCACCCAAGAGTCCAAATACAGTGAGTCAGCCTCTAACAAGTGCTCACTGTACCAACATGACCTCTCTGTGCCAGAGAATGTTGTGCCTGTCCACTTGCATTTGTTAAGTCCCTATTAAAGTCCCCATGAAGGCAGCCGGCGGGCCCACCTACCTCGACTGTCCCGGTGGAATCCATTCTCGCACTGCACTCATGTGGAAATAAGCCTGTTTACCACCAACGGGTCACACATGCTAATGAGCGTCTGTTTGTTTTCCACTGTGCTCATGCAGGAGGAAGGGAATTTAGAGGGGAAATAATAGATGATATGCAGACAACAGCCCGGGTGGCTCTGCAGCACTAATGATGAAAAACGTAGAACAGAGAATTAATCAGAAGAGGAAATGTGGTCTGACATTTTGATGTTGCTGGGTCTGTATCACAGTGCAGAATGTCGGCTGGCCTGGTTTGAAAGTGTAGTTGTGGCTCAATAAGCCACAGATGGACTGACATTAGAGAACAGAGCAATAAGCTTTGTCTGATGAACCCCCATCCGACAGGTAAGGTGTTATATTGTGTGGGGTTAGAGACTTGTCTACACCATAAATTAGTATCCTATGTGGTCCCATCAATGGTCTTCTATTGAGGACACAGCAATCAGTCCTCAGAAAAGTCATTTTGTATCTTCTGCCTTATTCAAATACAAAGGGAAATCATAGAAAAGCAGATTCCCATTGTGTTAAGCATGGTTTGTTTTTACAAATTCTTGTATACTGTTGTAAATAGCACATACATGAATAGGCATTAACTTTAGGAGCCACCATCACACCATACAGGATGTACTCTCAAAATCCTGTGCACCCATGAAAAACCCATTAATGGTAAATTGTCTTTTAGGAGTCCTAAATAAAAGAACATTTACTTAATTAATGGGGAAATTCTTTTTTCTTGTAGCTGTTCGAATGTGGAGAGTGCTGCTCAAGGTCACATCGGCAGTTTCCAGGAAGTGAGCACTACATACTGTGAACCAAGTCCCTACCGTCTGAGCTACTGCTGCCTGTATAAAATTAGCATTTTTGACCAGCTAGAGTTTATTTAGAATACTTTCCTACTTCCCTCATTGCTATTATTGAGGTGCTCTTGAGCAAGGTACTCACCCTTTGACCGTTGTGGAGCTGCCCATTGGTCAACAGACATCAGTGCGGTTATCCCGACAATGTCAGGTGTGAATGTTTGTAAAGCTGTAGAGCAGGACATTGATGAAAATTAAAGAACAAATGGCCACAAAAGTAGAAGAGAGGCCATATGTATGTATATAAAACTGGAATATCCAATAAACGATCACAAACGTATTGTTTTTGTTGTTTTGTACAGTATTGGTCATATAGTATATAAATACATAGGAATTTACGTCACTGTTTTAAATATGGCAGTAAGGTCTGGGTCAAGTCCTCCTGCTAAGATGTGACTAACACACACAGAAGCAAGAAAAGCACAGGAGTTACTCACTAATAACATTACAGGTGGATCTGTTCTGTTGAAGTGTCCCAGTGAGCTACGACCCAGAATGCTGCATGCACACTGTCAAAATGAAGCAACTACACACATCCTTCCTTTTTGCTTTACAACTGTGATTTTCCTGCTGTGACATGTAAAAATGTTTTTTTTAGTTTCAGAGAGCACACATTGAGCACCATTGCCTTACACCAAGGTCCAACAGTTAAAAGCTGACACTGCAGAATCTAAAGAGTCTGTATAGAATCAATAATAAGCATTACTGTTTGCCTGTCCTTGTTGTTTCCCTGCCCAGCTGCCCCATGAACCCAATGACCCTGATTAGGGTAACATTCTTATTTGATTCATATACAATCCACTCTCACAGAAAACTGTAAATGTACTGCACAACTTTATTATATGTGATTATTAAATGAATTATTAGATTAGATTACATCATCAGTTACATCATAATGGATATTTTTGTTCGAATCAGTGTACTGTTAACAGGCTTGCCAGTTTGGTGTTCATAATGTTTGCTTTGTGGACACTGTCAGGGGTCAGTCACATGTATATATTGAGTTTTCTAAGACCTTTATGCTGCTACATTACATCATTTTGCTTTTGATCAGCTCCAACTACTGTAAATCACAACAAAGAAAGGTGTGACATCACTGCTTTGAGATTTCGAGGCAAGCGGTCGACAAAGGTACAAAGGGTCTGGTAATTACTGTATGTGGTGCCTCAGTTGCTGGTGCATTAGTCACAAAGACTGCAACATTATGTAATGTAGTGGGAAAAAGTCTCAGAACTGCTGATGACACATGGGGAACGCAAAGAGAGAAGCATAAACCCTCGTCAGTGTTCACAGGGGAATTGACTTCACACATATATAACAGCGAGTGTCACCAAACTGTTACACTACAGGGCTCCTGTTTTATATCTTAAGATGTCTAAAGTCCATAATCCATATAGGTGATATCAGCTAAATTGAGCCATCAGGTAAAATGAGCCATTTAAGGTTTAAGCCTCCTAGCTCTTTAAATTCTAATAGCCAATGGCTGCAAATAATGTCCAATTGTTGCTACAACTGTACTCCATACAAAACAATTGATTTAATTGGCCTATGATTGCTATGGTGGGCGGGGCAAAGCCTCACTTCCAGACTGCTGAGGAGAACTGAGAATCTTACTTGAACATTATAAGGTTGATAAATCACTAAAAAACAGATGTACAGCTATAAAAAAATTGGGTATAATGCATGTTGTGATAGCCTTCATCAGATATAATGCCACATTTTTGCTTAACTAAATTATTTTTTCATGAAAAAAACATTTTTTTTTTGGGTGGCTCAATTTACCTTAATGTACTGAGGTAAATTGAGCCATGCATTTCAGCTAAAACTGCGAGTGTCACCAAACTGTTACACCACAGGGCTCCAGTTTTACATCTTAAGTTAAGATGTCTAAAGTCTACAGATGTGTTTTGAGAGTTTGTGCACAGTTTCTACATTCCAGGATGATAATTAGAGTGACTTTAATCCACAATGTTTACATTTAGCTATCTTCACATTCATCCAGCCACAATTGATCCTACACATCATCTCTGAACCATGATTGTTTAGCTGTGTCTGACCGATTGTTAAACAGTTTGTGTATATTACATTATATTACAACATGTATAAAAGACACATTTCACCTCACATAGCTACACAAGAGATTTACACAGTTTAATGAAAGAATCAGGGCTCATGTTTCAATGAGTGCTTAATATGCAGTAGTATGCCAGTTTGGAGCCTTATGCTGGTTTTGATTTTATTCGGGACGTTTTGCAGTGTCTGATGATAGTGTCAGTGTTTACATGCCACACACAGGATCCTGGCTTTTATCATGTCTGCATGCGCAACAGATCCAAACTGGAAGCCTGATCATAACCACTCATCACCAGGATAGCCTGCTAGTGGGCATGTAGACGAACTCAATGACCTGCCCGGAACAAAACTATTGGACGCCTTTGTTCACGGTCGAGTGCTTTATGTGGAGACACAACCGGATGTACACGAAAGAAGTCGTCCGGCAGCTGAGAGGCCGTGAAGCCCTTCCAGCTAACGTCGTCAAAAACAGTCAAAACCTTCATATTCCAACTCCTGCTCCACACTGTGACCCGATCACCACACAGACTAAAGATGATTAAAGCCATCTTGATATTTAACAACCACGGGAAACCGCGGCTGATCAGATTCTATCAGTATTTTGTGAGTATTTCTCCAAACGTTGTTATTCTCTGTGGCTGTCATTTGACCCGCAGTAAGTGTTGGATTAACTGTTTCTGTCAGCTCGTCGGTAATCACACACAGCACATACGCTGGCACGGTCTCCATCGGTGCGTGGTGTCTGAAATGTTTGTCAACAACTTGTTTACTAATAACGTTAGCCGATGTTAGGTTGCAGTGTTGGACCTTGTAGTTTCAGTTCCCTCTCTTTATAGAGAGCTCTGCTTTGTGCAAATACACTGGAACCACTGGCTTATTGGCCTAGTTAGAAAGTAAACGCTGTGTTTTAATACTGTAACTGCAACCTGTAAAGTGGCTCTGTAATAATACACCTTCCAGGACCTTGTAACTGTGGCATTACACTGTCATTGTAATGTCATTGTTCAGTTTAAGGTAATGGAAGAATTCAGTGGTCACAGTTCACCACTCCATCAGCCAACTAAATGTTAAAGAGTATGGCTCAGAATAATGGCGGGCTGCCTGTGCAGGGAGTTCATTAACCACCACATTTCCTAGACCTCAGTGGACTGTGTGACATGTTTGTCTTGCAGGCGGAGGACATGCAGCAGCAGATCATTCGGGAGACTTTCCATTTGGTGTCTAAAAGAGACGACAACGTCTGCAACTTCTTGGAGGGTGGGAGGCAAGTATTGCTGGGATTCAGTATTCAGTACATTGTTACAAGTGAATGGCTAATCATGTCTTTGTACTGCACTGTCCCATGTGTTTTGCTGTTAGAAAAGCTGCTGTAAGTGGACTGATTGTGGGGCCACTATTGTGGGCGTTCTCAGTTTGGTTTGGTGTCACTACTGCAGCTGCCATCAGCGGGTCAGCAGCTGACTGCAGATGCAGTTGCATGACTTCAGCCATCAGATGGAGGCAAACCCACAAATTTAGACTGGGTCTCAGTCCCTTCTTTCATTTCTCTAATCAACTCATTTACACTCCAAACCCCAACTGTCAGTTGTATACAATTATCTATTTGACCAAGCTTTATTCTTGCTGGCACAATTACTCACAGCACAAAGCGAGACTTGCCTTTTGCCTCTAAAGGAGCATTTTAATCTCTTTGCAGCCTCATCGGTGGCTCCGACTACAAGCTGATTTACCGGCACTACGCGACCCTCTACTTTGTCTTCTGTGTGGACTCGTCTGAGAGTGAGCTCGGCATTCTGGACCTGATCCAGGTCAGCTTCTACTTTACTGCGTTGTTTTATAGACATATTTCATTTGCAGTTTTTGAAGCAAAAACGAGTCGCCCCCCCCTTTTTTTTTCCCACATCACCCTCACTTAGCTTAGTAGTCCAAGATTGAAAAGAAGACATTTTGTCTCTCCCTTGACCTACTTAACAACCCCCCTTCTATTAAATGATGCTGTACTGGTTGCTATTGATGCTGGGGATCTAGGAAACTTACTCAATTGTTGACCTCATTGGAAATCTTTCTGGATAAGACAGTTGACCAATATAAATGAGGAAACAATGACAATCACAGT